CTGGCTCAAGGACAACTGCCTGTTAGTTATTTTTTTCTTTCTAAATTGCAGTGATGATGTCTTGAAAAATGTTGATTAAACAAGTGAGAGTGGGCACAAGTCATCACAGGACCCATAAAATTGTTTTATGTTGCTATCGAAATGCCCTGGTAATTTAAAATGAAAGGGTTGTTCTGACAAATCATCTGAAATCGAATATGGTATACTTTCTGTTCTTGGTGATCATGCCTGCTTTTAAATTCTTTTGTTAAGTGATTTATGCACATTTATCCAGAGCATAATTATCTTGATTAATATTGAGGAATATGGTATTTATAATCCCAATGTTTAACAAAGTGCTACATGATTAGCCCTTTAAAAATAATTAACCCTCTTGTATATAAAATTTCATAATTTCATTTCAGATTATCAAGTGCCAACTAATATTTTCAAAATTTTAATCATCCATATATAATGGACTCAGTGGAAACATGTATTGTTGCTCTTATATTACAAATCAATGGAAAATCAAACCACATTTTAGTATTTTGCAGCAATCACATTTTTCTGGTCTTCTGCCTTTTGCATTTAGTTATTAGATGTCTATTATTTAATCACATAAATGATTTAGAAAAATGAAGTTATTAAAAATTAGAAAAATTTGAAACATGCTATTCCTATACACAAATTTATTGACTTGGCCCTGTTCTCACCTAAGAATAAAAATTCTGTCTGGGATCAGTAAGTCTAAATAAGGGCTCCCTCTGCACTCCCTACAGGAAACAAACATTGAACAAATTTTATGTTGCTTATATCTTGATGACTTCTAAGGAGATGAGAATTGTCAGAGCACTTTTCCTAGTGGAATATAGACCCAATCTGCTATTTTCCAGAACAAGCAGAATCAAATTCCTTGTATCTCCTTAAATGACGAAGCAGTTACTGCTAAGCTTTTGTGTCAATTAGTAAAGACCTATGGTCAACACATTGGGAATTACTAAAACAGGATCAATTCTTTTCTTTTTTTCCCTTCAAAATTTGGGAAGTTTTAGGGAAGCCAAATTTTCTTATATTCACACGTCTTTGAGTTTTATCAGCTTGTAAGCCTACAATGGTAGAAGATTATGATAAAGAAAACAAATACTCAGGGAAAATGTCAAAATTAAAATATAGTGACTATTTAATATGGGATTTGTGTAATATATAAGTACAAAATTGATACTTATCAAGTATTTTCCCCCATCTAGAAAATATCTCCAAATACCAGTAATAAGGACCTTAAGCCTGCCAAGCCTTTTGCACTTAATATTTCATGTATTCCTCATTTATCTATGAGGTAGGTACTGTTATTATCACCATTTAACAAATAGGGAGACAGAAATTTAAAAGAAGTGACTTGCCCAAGATCAAATTTTAAGTAGTGGAGCCTGGTTATCTATGTCTGTTGGATTTCAGAGGTTAGGCTCTTTCTTCACCTCTATTGTGATACCACAAAGAGAGTATTTGAGTCTTTGGGAGGGAGATGGTTTGTACACAGAGAATTCTTCTCCCTTCATTATGTGCTTCAGGCTGTATAGCTACATCATCTTTCCTTTATCCAAAGTTGGAAATGGCATTTGACAAGCTTTTGCAGAGCTTAGAAAGCCTAAGAGGGTGAAGGTGCCCATGATGTTTAGCTTTTGAGATTTCCTGGATCTAGCTGGTTCCTTCACAGTTGGTACATTTGGTATCAGATCAGTTTTTAAAGAAGCTGTCCTTACACTCTTGTTGCTGAGACAAAATATGGATACAGCTCACTTTCTTCAAACTTCATCTGCACTCCTGCATTCTTCATTGTTAGTCATACTCCTTAATTGAGCTTTTTGAGTAAAGACAGAAACAAATAATATGATGGATGGGTGAAGAGGAGAGGGCAGACATGGATCACAGGACAAAGGTCTGTTAAGTGAAATATCCTGAATCAATCCTTTACCTGGCATTTTTTCTCTAGAAAATTCACTCTTTAAATATGCGCTGAGGAGACTTCTGCTTCCAGGAAGATGGGAGTAGACATCCTTTCTCCTATTTCTTTCACTAAATACAGCTAAGAACCCTGGACATTATGTATAAAACAAACATAAGAAGATTCTGAAAGGAAGGGCACCTGAGTGGCTCAGTCGGTTGGGTGACTGACTGACTCTTAGTTTCAGCTCAGGTCATGATCAATCAGTCAATCAATCAATCAATCAAGATTCTGAAAGGTGGAAAGAAGGCAGGTCAGCTAGGAAGCTCAGGACCAGAAGAAAGACATAGTAGTGAATTTTCTGGATTTTCTTTTTCCTCATAGATCTCTGACCAGGTACTAGGTACTCTGAAGCTGGCAACCCAGAAATGCCAATGGCCATGGGCCAGTGGAGGCCATGTAGGAAGTTTGGACCCCACCTTTGGGGTCACTGGAGGGCACGTGGGGAACAGTAATGAGGTGTCCCTGCACATCTACCTGTATCTGGCAGTAAGGAGGCAACAACCTCCCTTGCCCTGAGGCAGCATTGTTAGAGAAGGCCTGCTAAAACACCACCTTTTAAGATGAGCCAGTCTTTTTAATATGATACCCAAAATGTCCGGGTATTAATGGAAAATCATTCCAAGGAAGATCTCAACTTGAATGAGACAAGACAATCAAGAGATGCCAATACTGAAATGACACAGATGTTAGAATTATGGGACAAGGATTTTGAAGCAGCCATCATAAAAGTTCAATGAACAATTACAAACATGCTTCACAAATGAAAAAGTAGCAAGTCTCATCGAAGAAACAAGCTACAAAGAAAATCAAATGGAAAATTTAAAACTAAAACATACATGGGAACAATCAGTGAACTTGAGGATAGAACACAAGAAATTACCCAGTCTGAACAACAGAGAAAAAAGACTGAAAAGATAAAAAGCCTTAGGGACAAGTGAGACTGCAACAGAAGATCCAACAACTGGGTCACTGGAGTCCCAAAAGGAAAGGAGAAAGGGGATGGGGCTGAAAGAGTGTTTGAAAAAATAATGGCTGAAAATTACCTAAATTTGGGAAAAGACATAAACCTACAGGTTTAAGAAGCTGAACAAACCCCAAACAGGACCCAAACATATTCATGCCAAGACACTTCATTGTCAACCTCCTGAAAACTAAGAATAGAGAGAAAAATCTTGAAAGCAGCCAGAAAGAAGCGATGCAGGAAATGCACAAATTTTGGGCATTAGAGGAATGGGTGGGTTACCAGCATTTCTCGTTGATTTCAACTATTAGTCTTTTGCCTTTGTAACTGGACTTAACTGAGCTAACATGCACAAAGCATTTACTAGACATCTATAAATTATGCTGGCACTTTAGCGACATATGTCAATCTCATTCCTCCTGTAACTGCTTCACAGCAGATGTTATCCATCAGAGCAAATCAAGAAGTTCCAGAATTTGAAAGAATCTCAAAAAAAAAAAAAAAAGACAAGCACAATAATTTTTAATTTGGGATTTCTTGATGGGCTTCAGCTCTGTGCACTACTTGAAATTAATCGAAAAAATGCCAGCATGTATGTACATTTTTCCAGGAAAAGGACCATAGTTTTCATCAGATTCTCAAAGGAGCAGGTGGCCCTAAAAAGATTAAGAGCCACTGTTAAGTTTCTGTTCTTTTCAGGCTAAGCCATATAATCCAACCTAGGTAAAAAAGAACCTAAAAATAGAGAAGGTATTCCTCATTCTGTCAAAATTCCTGAACGCTACCTCATGATAATTCTCTACTTTTAAGGGAAAAATAAGAAAAGGGCAGTCTTCTAATTCCTTTTAGGCACTTCTGGAAATACATTGTTCATTAAAGAATGTTTGCCTGTAGTCTTATTTCAATCATTTTAAAAATAGTACCTGGAGGTGACTAAATGACTAACGCACTGGGATTTAAAATGTACTTTAACTTTGATTTCTCCCAATGCCAATGAAAAAGTTCAGATGTATAAGGAAGAATCAGCAGCCTCTCTATGCCAGTATCAATGGGCTGGTTTATGAGCTAAGATAAACTGTTCTACAATCTGCGTTCCTTTTTCCACCTTTCAAAAAAAAAGGCATGTAAAATTAAGTTCTATTAATTACACAATGTGTAACTGCCAATTTATCTGAACAAAAAATGTTAGTGCATTCTCTTGTGAAAAAATAAAACAGCTACAACAAAAACAGATCTATTTAGTTTCTGTCTGTATAGCATGGCTGTCCCTCACTTCTTCCGTCCAACCCCTTCATGCAAGCCAGGTGAGTTCACCTGCAGGACTGCACTATAAAACAGGGTTTTAGGTTGCTACTGCCTGTTTTCTAATTAAAATTAAGACCCCCAGTGTCACCTGGAGAGCAAGATTGGATAATGCATTATTTCAGTAAAAAACTTGATTATCTGCTTCCAGTAGGACCCTCAGACTATTCTCTGCTGGCTTGTATCTACAGAACCAAAAGGATCATGAGGGTCTTTTGTTAAACATAGAATACCAGGGCCCAGCCTAAAATTACCACAATGCAACTAGGAGAAAGATTTGGGAATCTGAAAGTTTTTCCAAGTCCTTCAGGTGATTCTTGAGTTCACACAGTGTAAAACAGTCTCAAACTTGAATATGCACACAAATGATCCTGGGCCCTTGAAACAAATGCAGATTCTGATCCGCCTGGTCTGGACAGGGTCTGAGACTCTGCATTTCTAACAAGTCCCCAGATGATATTGCTAGTTTGAGGACACTTTGAGTAGTTAAGATCAGAGAGGGTATGTTTCATCTGGTTAGTGTGTAAATCAGTGTAGGCCATTACCTTTTCCTTCTGTATCTGTGGATTCTCTACCAGGGACTTCTACCTTGATACTGCCCATTTCTCACTTATCACTGATAGTGTTTCTATAAGCTAGTGTGATCACTTAAGGTAAGGCATTCTGCCACTAAGCTGACATAAAAGTACATACAAAGATAAGAACAACCTGAAATAAACGGAAATGAACATCACACATTAACTTACAACATACTGAGTTTATATTTTATATAGTAACTTCTCATCATAGAGATGTTAATACAAAGGTTTTTTTAACATTAAATTTCTCCATTTCAATGTCAATATATTTTTTACATTAAATATTGTCTCCATTTTAACATGAGATACATTGAATACATTTTTCTTATCTCCCCCAAGAAATAAAAATTTTAATTTCTGACTGTATTTGATTATTAAGTTGGGAGTTAACAAAACAAAAATCTAATAAAAATATGGAGAAAAGACTCCTCAGTGAGAGAGGAATTGGCAATTTCCTAGGACTTTGGGCAAGGGTTTCCTTCTTCCTATTTCATGCGCTTTGAGAATCCCAAGAAATTATGAAATAATATGTAAATTTCAGTCATCTGACTTCTTTGACCCTCTAACTAGCATATATGAATTATAAACTGCTTTTTTCAGTGCATTATTTGTTGTGAAGAAACCTTTTTTTTCCCCATTTAACATATATTAATTTGTTCCAATTTACAGGGAGACAAGAATGTGAAAATACCCTATTTCTTGGGAACTTTTAGACATTAAAGCTCAGTTTTTAACCTCAATAACACAAAGGTTTTCCAGGCAAGGTTTGACGCACAAGGCCCATCAAAATCACATTTGTCCATTCCTCTTTCGTGCATATACCCCCAAACAAGCACAAATGCCTGTAATGCTGAGAGCCACACCTAACAAGAGAGCGACTGCATCTCCAGCTTCTACTGCTTCAACAACAGGCAGCACCAAAAGCACTGAAATGAGGACCAAGAGCAACTGTGTTGAAACTGAGGTCATGATGTTGGGATCTTCAGGTATCTGGATCTTGAGGGCTGAAGGTTTCTAGAAATCAAACATGGAAACAAAAAGGAATCATTAAAAATTCTAACCATTTCAGTATGGATACCTAAATAACAATCCACACACCTTTTAAATTTAAGTTTCAGACCCATCTCCTCATTTAATGGTAGAAAAAACAGGTTAAGTTTATAAAAGGTATTTAAAGATAGTCATTTGAGGCTAATCTCCCCTTTTCATAATTCCTCGACTCCAGCAATTTTTCCACACCCTATCATGCGAAATCATGTGAATCAACTAAGCAAACTGAACAGAACATAATTAAGAAGGGAAAACACACGAGACACTCGTAAACTTAAAATACCTTAGTGAGTAAAAATTACTCCCATCCAGGAAATGCAGACAAATCTGGCAAAAGTCACGCAACATGTAAGTCTGTGAAGTTGTGGGGAATTAGTAAAACTTACCAAAAAAAGGATTTACGTAAAATTCTGATTCGAAAGAGTCCCTTCCTGGAGTTCCAGATCGCTGAGGCTAAGAGGTTCCACGTGACAGAGCCTATTATCAGAAGAGGGTAGGATTTAAGAACTACTCACCATCACCATCAGCAGCATTATTATTATTGAGACAGCCAGAGTCAGTGCAGAGCGAAGAGGTCGTACGGAAGAGAGAGGAATGGATAATAACTAGAGGTAACAGTTTGTTCAAGCAGGGGAACTAGACTTAAAGTTGGTCAGTTCGCCCGCACAGAAAAACCTAAAAATAATTCGAACCCAGAGACAAGTTCGTGCCATGACTTGATATTAAGATTTTAAAAAGAATCCCTGCTTTGTCCCGGCGAGGTGCAAATATGACCCCTATTTTACAAATACACTGAGGCAATCTTAAGTATCCTTTGGAGCCGAGATCGTACATTACCTTCCCGGAAGCAGCCATTAGAGGAATGGCGAAGAGGGCGGGGTCTCCAAACTACACTTCCCACAATCCCCGCTGCGGACGACTCCCAGGATGCGCCGGAGCGCTCCCCTGTAACTGGCTGAGAGAGTGACGGGCGTGCTGCACAGAAGAGGAGGAGCAAGCTTGAGGGGCTTCCTCACACGGCACGACGTTTTACCGGTAAAGTGTTTTAGTGTAATTGTACAAACGCTCTCTCAAAAATGAGATAAAGAAATGACAGCAAGTGATTTTTACCCTATTTAAGGTTTTAAGACACACAAATAGTTATGTCTTTTCTTCGACTGAAATGAAGACACAACAGCGGGAAGATACCACCCGGGCACAGCCATCTGTTTCGGCTTCTTTTTAAACTAGCGGCTTCCAACATTCTGAAGCAGGGAATCCCCTGTCACCATCTTCCAAATGTGCCTTATGACGTTTTGTTCATTCCTTTTAAGCAATGGGGAAAACACGTTTAATTAGACATTTTGGAAAATGTTAGGGAAACACAAAAGGATGTTTTATTTGGGTTCTGGAGTTGTGAGAATCCCCATTATTTCCAGAGTGCAGTGTGTGTATGGTACATTTAGTGATTTCTTCTCAATCATGTTTTTATGATACCCACCTCATCTGCCCCCAAATATTTATGAAATGTGAAATTATTACTTTTAAATAATAACTGAATTATTTGCATATGTAAGTCAACCCTTTCTGAAAGGCACTCTTGAAGTCCAATATCTGTGAAGTCTTTAAATGAAACTTTGTAGTCACCCAGTTTTCTGAATTCTCATTTACTGATTCGACAGTTTATTTGACACCCTCAGATTATAAGTTATTAGTGGTGTGAGTTAGGGATAAAGTCACTGCCCTGTCAGAATCAGTCTCTCAGAGCAGGTACATTCAGCTCAGTGCCCCTAATTAGCATGTAATCTTGTACCTTATCTTTTTTCATGAATGTTACTAATCTCTCTAGACTGACAGCAAAGCTTTATATTCTTGTCTCTTAACAGGCACCCAGCAATAAAGTTGGCTAATCGTAATTATTTGAATAAATACATGTGCCAACAAGATTTCATGAGACAAAGAAGTGCCAAAAAAACCAAACCAAGGTCTCTTGCATATTGGAAGTCTGAGGATAACTACACAGTAATACAGTTAGCATTGCTTCTCTAAACTTGATTGTTTTAACAAAGTTCTGTCTTTGCCTCATTTGCTTTGAACTTTTAGTTTTGTACCTTTCTAATCAAGTATATTTGAAATATATTACAAAATATTCTCTTGTATTTTAGTGTGAATATTTTGGGAATTTTATTTTTCCCTTTATGTTTATTTCAGTTAGCTAAAGTTAGCAGAGACTACTTTAAAGTTAGTGTTATTACAGGCTTGTTTCTAGGTGTGTCAACTTTGAAGATAATGGTTTGAAGTTTGAAGAGTCTGTGGATGGTAAAATGCTTTTTCTTTAAAATATTAAGATGTCGGTTAATGACCTGACTCCTCTGAAATAGAGTGGCAGAAGTTTGTGCAGGAGTGTTTTGGGCCCAAGCAGTTTTAAAATAAAGTTGGTTAGCTTTCTCTAACTAGCACCCACCCCACTCAGGCAATTTAATAAAGGTATTGCTATATATGCTTTTGTGTGCCTTATCCCAGTCCTAGTATCCAAGTTGTATGGTATCCTATTTCTCAGTTTTTTCTTACTACCCTAGTGATTAAAAAAAGTTAATCACTTATTCCTTTGCTTAAAACTCTCCAGTTTCAACACATTAAGCTGAAGTCCAGACTCTTTATCTAGACTCACAAAGCTCTACACATTCTGGCCTCTGCTTCTCTGGTGTCAATCCATCACTCACCCATGCTTATTCCATTCCAATCACATTCACCTGTTTGCTCTTTCTTAAACATGTGAATTTTGTTGTTTCCTATTGAATTTGCCCTTGCTTTTGTCTCTGCCAGTAATACTTTTCCTACCGACTTTTTAATGGCTGTTTTCTCAAGGTTCTGCTTAAATGTCACCTTCTTCCCTGAGCACCTCACAAAAGATATCTCTCCCATTACTGTCTATCCATTTTCTTGCCTTATTTTTTCTTCATAGTGTCTATCACTAACTGAAATTATATTATGTATTTTTTATATGTGTAGTAGGTAAACAAATACAGTAAAGTGAAAATTCCATGAAGGGCAGGAAATATTCCTGTCTTATTCATACTGAGTTCCTAGCTACTAGAACAGTGTCTAGCATGGTAGATACTTCGAAGGTATTTTGTGAATGAATGAATATTAGTATAAGGCTACAATTTGATTAATATTTACTTAGCTTTATACTGTTCATGGTAGAAACTACTTTATATGTAGGAAGTCAGCTTCTGGTATGAAGATACTTGATGATCTAGACTGAGCTTACTTTGAGTCTTCATTCAAAATTTGGTCTTACATATTTCCCCATAGTATTATTAACAAGAATTTACATTTATGTATATATAAGGTATAGTAGCATCTAAAACAAGAACGTACTTTGTTCAGGAACCTGTCTATAATGGTCCCTACTTACTTCCTCTCCACTTGAAGCATCAGGATTTTGACAACAAATGTTGATTAAGTCTACCTGGATCATGTATTTTTTCCTTAACAATACTGGAAAGGTTTCCTTTAAATACCGCTTAATGTTGGATGAACAATATTGGCATTTTTGGTGAGACAGTGCTTTGCTGTGCAGACACAATACTGCAGGATGTTTAGCATCCCTAGCCCATGCCCACTAGATGCCAGTAGGATCCCCCAGTCACGAGGACAACCAGCTGCTCTCACACATTGCTAAATACTCTTTGGTTGTAGATACTGTTCCTAGCTGAGAACCACTCCAGATTTCATGAACAAAATGAAGGGTGTAGTGGAGAATGGAATGAAACCAAACAACGAAGTGTTCACACACACGTGTGTATGTGTATATACACACACAAACATATATACAAACACCCCAACACTGCAGTGTCTTGATGATTTAGATCCTTTTCCTTTAAATATGCTGGTTTTATGCTTTTTAAAAATATGCTGCTTATGCTTTATTTGCAGATTCTTTTCTTTTTCCTGTCAGCATCTCTACCAGACAGGTTCCACTGGTCACTTTCTTATAACAGCACTGATATGTAGATTGAAATGAGATTTCTGCTTTTATATCTATCTCCTCCTCAGCTTAGTCTTTAAGCTGCAGCGAGCTAGTATGATATAGTTTAAGGAATATTAGTTTTTTCCTTGGTGGCTTTGTGGATTTGGGTATTTATATACTCTCTTTGAGGCTCAGTTTCCTTTTACAAAATATGTTTTGAGAAGATTAAATGAAATATTTTCAAAGTGACCGAAAAAGTGACCAGAGATCAATACTCCTCAATTCCGCCTTTAATTGTATTTCTATATCTCTGGCTAGTGATTAAAAGTTAAGGTTTCTGGGCGCCTGGGTGGCTCAGTTGGTTAAGCGACTGCCTTTGGCTCAGATCATGATCCCGGGGTCCTGGGATCGAGTCCCACATCGGGCTCCCAGCTCAGCGGGGAGCCTGCTTCTCCCTCTGACCCTCTCCCCTCTCATGCTGTTTCTCTCTCTCTCAAATAAATAAATAAAATCTTTAAAAAAAAAAGTTAAGGTTTCTGGGTCAGACTGCTTGGTTAGAATTCTACTGCTGCTTACTAGCTGTATGACAACACGAAACTTTTCTAAGACTCAGCTTATCTATCTATAAAATTTGGTATAGTAGTATCCACTTGTTATGTAGAGTAGGAGGATTAAATGAATTAGTTCCTGGAATTAGTAGCTGGCATGTAGTAAGCCCTCATTGAATATTAGCTACTTAATTTGCTACTATTTGCTATTAATCAAATCCACGAAATAGGAGGTCTCTACGATGTGGTTTCTCTCCATTGTGAATGTGCTCTTCTGCATAGTAAATAGCAGATGCTTGTGGAACCTTTGGGTGCAGGCACATTTTAGGCCCCGTAGGCTTTGGGTTGAGGGCTGACTAGAAACATTTTCCTATTACTCTAAATCTGTGGTAGTTGTGATTAAAAAACAAAACAAAACAAAACATCCAGTTGTTGCCTTGATGGCGTTTTCTATTTAACTATTTCATACCTATTGGGGGTTATATTTATGTTTAAAACATATTCTCCACCTAGCTGGTGGTACATCATCAATTCATTATATTGGGTCCAGCTGTCTGAATGCTCCTGCAGGCTTCTATATAGTTCCTCTTTAGCATTAAGTATCTAGGGTTATCAAATCCAGAATTTAGTCTTTCAGTTCAAGAGAAGCTAAGCCTACACCATCCTTCACTAAAATAGAGACCACTGGTAGCCAGTCATATTCAGAGACAAAGAACATTATTTTAGTCACTTATCTGAGCAGTGGAGGGCAAAATTTACCAAGTCAGTTGTTACCAAGAAATGGTTTCAGAGAAGAATGGAAAAGTGGTCCTGCTTATAAGGATTAGAAGTGAGTCATTGCTAGGCTCCAAATGAAGGCACTTCTGGGATCCATCAGAAGAAGCAGGATGGGCTGACATCAGGATTTTGCAGTGTGTGTGTCAGGGAATTCATAAAAATCCAGATTTTCTCTTTAGTAATTGAGCCAACCCAGGTGAATAGAGACATTTTATTGGAGCTTCACAATTAAAAAAGACCAACCCAGAGCTGGTCAGTATTTCCTATCAACAATAAGACATTTATTACTGTTATCATTACATTAGAGCTAACTAATCATTAGGCTAACAGGATGGGATAAGCTGTACTTTCTAGAGCTGTTCAGCTGCTGCAGAAAAAACACCTGTTGAGGCTAAACTGGTGCCAGCATCTTACAGAGGTGTATGGGCAAGCTGCAGATGTCATTGTTGACGTGGTTCCAGGCACCATCTAGAGCCCATTATGGATGTGGCCCTCACTTCCACCAGAGAACCTCCGTAATCTGTGGGAATCGATTATACACCCAAGTCTGTGGTGTCCAGGGAAGTGAGGAACCCCCCACAGATACT